AAGTCAAATGTGGGTACAAATTTCGTTACACTATTGTTTATCACAGTTGTATCCAGAGCTTTAAATAATTCTCTCTTTTTCAAAGTCGACACAGGCGGATTTAATTACTTTAGAACAACCTTTGGCAAGACAATTTATTCTTCTTTATCTCTGTTGTTACAATACAAGCTGTGAAACTCACTTTAGAAATTGCCTGTTACAGCTAAACTAACAATCACGTAATCTAACTATTAAAGAAAACAGCAGTGGCGTTGAGGCAGTTTGAGTTGGTGTTCGTGGATGTGGACTTGTAATTGGTATTTGTTATAGACCATCAGGTCAGAATGTAGAGGTTAATGAGAAACTGTATAATCAGATTAGAATGGTAGTTGAAAAAGATGTTATTATGGGAGAATTTAATTTTAGGGGTGTTGATTGGGTATTTTGAGTCTGAATGTGAGGGGGATAGGTTTTTTGGAAATTGTTCAGGATATTTTTATATACCAACTGGTGATGGAACTTACAAAAGAGGAAGCTATATTAGATTTAATATTAGCATCCGATGTGAATATGATAGACAGAGTTGTGGGTGATGAACATTTAAGTAGAAGCAACCATTACACTATTAGGTTTGGGATTTTACTGTATGTAGAATTGAAGAAGAATAGTACCCTGATTCCAAATTTCAGAAAAGCCAATTCTGATGGAATGAGACATATTCTGTAGATTGGACTAAAGAATTGAGAGGGGATCTTGAACAGTTGTGGGAAGCATTTAGGAAAAATTGATATGCATACAGAACATACATATTTACTACAGAAAAAAATGGCAACGAAGCAGAATAAGCTAGTATGGTTTAGTAAAGGTTTAAGATATCATATTAGGGATAAACATAATAAATTCAAGAAATTTAAACTTACTGGAAATAATAAGGACTTCGAAGACTATAGGAAATCAAGGGAGCTGGTTGAAAAAAGTTAAAAGGGCAAAAACTGAAAGAGGGTTGGCTGAGAGAGAGTTAAATCAAACAATAAGGAAATCTTTAGGTACATGATGGGTAAACAAAATGTTACTATGGGGATTGGGTCTCTTAAAAATGATAGTGGGGAGCTGATCTCAGAAAGATTATGAGATGGAAAATTTATTAAATTATATGTTCTCTTCAGTTTTTACAAAGGAAGATACAAGTATTATGCCTCAATCAGAGCACTTAATGTATGGGGAAAATATTGATGTCATTTTAAGTTCTGAAACTGTGAGAGAAAAGTTGGGAAACCTAAAAATGGATTAATCCTCAGGACCAGACAACTTTTGTCCTAGAGTTTTCAAGGAACTTAAAGATTTTATTTGTGAACTGCTAACAAATATTTTTTATAGGCCATGTAGTAGTGGAAGAGTATTAGAAGACTGGAAGTTGGCTAATGTTTGTCCAATATTAAAAGGAGGTGATAAACATTGTCCAGGCAATTATAGGCCAGTTTGTCTTACATCAGTAGTTGGAAAGGTTTTGGAGAGTGTGATTAAAGATGCATTGCAGAGTCACATAAAGCGGTTTGATATAGTGTCAAAGAGCCAGCATGGTTTTACTACGGGAAAGTCTTGTTTAACAAATCCTCTGACATTGTTTGAGGATGTTACTGCAAGAGTTGATGAAGGAAATACTGTGGATTTTCAGAAAGCATTTAGTAAGGTGCCTCACAAATACTTGCTACAATAAATAAATCTGTGGGTATGGGGGAAATGTTATAGGATAGAAAATTGGCTGGAGAGTTGAAAGCAGAGGGTAGTAATAAATGGAGTTAGATCTGACTGAATCACAGTTACAAGTGGTGTGACTCAGAACTCTGTGTTGGGTCCTCTGGTGTTTGTGATTTATATTAATGATATTGACTCTGGAATGAGAACGAAATTTTGGAGTTTGCAGATGACATTACTATTTTTGGGGTGGCTAACTGTACCAAAGATACTGTAGACTTACA